CAAGGAAGGAAGCAACAATCCTTGGTGGTAGCTATGCCTTTAGCTATCCCAAACACCACTCTCCTTCCATCTTTACTCCTAACTATATCAGCCCATTTTACTTTAACTACCTTCACTTTATCTCCGGCTCCCTATACCCTCCTCCCCGTACTAGCTTACCTTTCTTACTTACTTAATTACACACGTACTTTTCCTTACTCATCCTAATCTATGGTCGCCTGCCTACGGGTTCTCTACTGTTTGCTGGAGGGGTACTCGGACCTCCTGGTTAGCCTGTGACTGATCAGCTGGNGCTACTTCCATCTACAGCAAACCGGATTGGTGTCCCTGCTCCGCGGCCGTACCCCTACACCACCAAGGACCGATCAACTAACTGTCGAAGCGTTACGAGACGCACGTGGCCCGTAGACGCAAGAACCTTGACTATTATACTGGCTCAAGCCGCAAATCCCGTGAACTGTCCTGTCCTGTCCTGTCCTATATCCCAAGGGAACCAAGGGCAAGTTTCTTTTCAGCCATGTTTCCGTATGGCTATGCAAGCGCATCCTGAGGCCTCTACTCGGAGCTCATTTTAGTTGTTTCCTACACTGCATGCGTTCGTGTAGGGTACCAAAGAACTATTGGGCTTCGCTGGCCTCTGGCTGTGGCAATGGGAAATTAATTCCCAGTGCCCGGTCCGGAGAGAGGTGTATTAAGCTTCGTAGCTTGGACCATCAATGTGGATCCCCCTACTGTGCCAGAAGATGTTTCAGGTTTGTTCCTCCTTCGGCTGACTGATTGGTCGGGTTTCACCCGGAAGTTGCTTATGATGGCTACGCGCACTACTTCAGACGCTGCCAATAAATCGTCCTGAACCTGAGTTTGCAAATTCAAACAGCAAGGGTCTTGGGTTCCTGTTCTCACTGCACAGAATTCCTCCCCATTTTCCCAGCCGGAATACATTTCAATAGTGACATTAAAGCTAATCGGCGTTGACGGCCTGCCGATAAGTATTCTTACGGATCCTGAATAAAGCCTGCAACCTCCTAGTATCTCGTTGCTCGGGTTGGGTAAAAACACTCTTGGTGGTCGTAGACTTTTATTGGGGTATCATTTTACTAGAAAGTACCAAATACCTTCCAATGTGACTACTAATACATGCAAGAAAATAAAGTGAACTGTGAAATGTAGTCAAAGTGTCTTTTTTTAGGTATATAACAGTCAGAATTACTATGCAAACCAAATGTAAGCTCCTACCAGATCGATCTTAGAAAAAATAGTCAGGCCATGAAGTGACGCCGTAATGTCTTGTATATGTGGGATGGGATAACTATCGAAACGAGTGGCTGCGTTAAGTGTCCGATGATCTCCACATAGTCCCCAGCTAATTCTGTCTTTTGTAAGAACCATGCGTAGAGGAGAGGCCCATGGACTACGAGAAGGACGCACGATAACTTTGAAAGTAAAATGTCAACTTCACGCACCAGTCGGTGAGGTCGTGCCGTGCCTGGTGAACCCTCGTGACTATGTAGCGTGCGACATGATCAGCCAATACTGTTAAATCCTCGATAGGTTTAGTCAACCTAGGGAATCGGCGGTCAATGTCTGGAAGTCCACAGGGATATCAAGCATTAAAACCGTGATTCGGTAAACGCCTGAACGGGCTTTGAGACCCGTTAATTTGATATTCGACAATGGGTTAATCAACTGCAGTCTACTTGAATCGACAAGCAATTCATAGTACCGCAAGAACTCGATACCCGGAATTCCAGTAGGAACATTCACAAGAATGAAGTTTTGAAGCATTACACGGGTGCGAGGCTATGCCAAGTGGTCCCGGATCTTAGTGGTTTCCAGGTTTCTTCTGGTCCTGCGTCCCGGTGAACTGTTTAAGGATAGGGCTGCACTGCGGCGTATGTTGGATAATTAGAGTGAGTTCGCGCCCTGCAAGAAGGTTACCTGTTGTGAGATAAGAGCAGGAGGGGGTGCTGTGCCTCCCGAATAGATCAACGAGTAACGCGTAGCCAAATTCGGATCCCTAAACGTCAATAAACCGAACGATCCGGCAAGTTCCTATGGTACCGCATTAACAAACGATCAAATAAGCAAATAAAATCTGTAACAACCTCGAAGTGATCTCGGAACAACTTGAAAACAAGAGCCAAGTGTTATTGTGAGCGTAATTCAACAGATCTGAAGGCAAGAAAATTAGTCTGGATAAGAATAGCACACTTACCGTCACACTCCACTTGAACGAGTCAAATGTGAGCGGTCAGGTTGCGATTGAAATAGGTGGGGTAGGAATGAAGCATTAAAACAAACAAAGTTAGACAGTGGGATCGGTGTGTAACTATACAAGGGAGGTGGAACGACAAATGTCTATGTATCTATGAGGCGGATGGTGTTAGGTGAATGGAACGTGAAATTTACGAAATGTGGAACCAAGGTGGAATGGCAGGGCTTTACAGGAAGGATTTTCACAGATTGATCAATACAGGTACCGTGTCTGCATGTAGTGCGACAAATCGGAATGTTCAGGAGAAAATACGGAAAATAAATAACATCATGGGACGGGGAAATGTTTACCCTTCAGAGATATAGGTCTAGATTCCTTTTGAAAGCGGATTTCTTGGGGGCATTACCCACTTCTTTGGGAGATTACTCCAGAGAGGAATGGCCCTGTGGGTGACAGAGGACTGTCGGACTAGTGTACGGGCACGCAGTTCGAAGTTCATGGATACTGTTATTTCCCTTCCAGATTGTCCGTTAGTTGTCTTGTTCCAAAGGTAGGAATGAGACTGCCATGCGCAGCGCATAGCCGAAGCGCCGCAGCTCATGGCTTGCTGATACCCATGAGAAAGACTGAAACTTGGGCTCTCTTTGCTACGTGGAACAGGTCGTTCGTGTGATGGTCACATACGAAAAACAGACGGCCAACCTGGAGAGGTAAACCAGCGAGTGCGGCCGCTTTTACTCGCCGGCTTACTCTTTTCCCGTCACGCAGATGCAGGGATTCCTGCAGCTGCGAGCTCCTGGTCCATAGCTACGATAGAATGAGCAGTAACCCCACGGGAGGGGAGTCATTCGGGGCTTTGGGTGGTTTGCAATTCTGCGGCCTCTTTTGACTTGGGTTGATTTTGGCGAACATGGGAAGGCTGTGCTACCCATTTGAGCCTAGGCTTAGCCGTATAGGGTTAGCAGTGGGCGCCGGAAATCTGTCCCTGGAGAACATACGGTGGTGTATACAGTGTGGTCGTGGCTGTGGAGGCCGTACCGCATACCTATCCCTATTCCCCTTATATGGTCTTGATGTCGTGACAACAAGAAAGTTATCCTCACTATCGACATGTGTAACCATTTTGTTGGCAAATTGCTGCAGCTTTGACGATCGAGGCGTTCTCTAGCAACGCCGTTACCGTCGGTTGGATGTGAAGTGGTAAAGACTCGAGCCGCATCTCCTTGACGATGTCAGATTGGGCGTTTGCTGGGCAGACTGACATGCATAGACGTACCAAATGCATGCTTGGCGTCGTGTCACCAATCGGGTGACGAGTCAGTAACTGGCGCAACCGCTCCTCGTTAGAGGGGGAGTAGAACTGAAGGATCACAGCCTTCAGAACGTCGTACGCGTTAACTTCCGGTGGTTTAAGGATGATATCCTCAATGGTGGATATTCGGTCTCCAGGGATCGCCTCTAACACGTAAAGGTATTTGAAGCGCTGGCTGCGCACGTTACGGGCTAAAGACAGCAAACCACAACTCGAGATCATGGAGGATGAAAGCCACCGGCTTAAAACAAATAGCCAATAAGTCCAGTTCCTTGTCTACAGCTTTCCGTTCGCGGGTACAGCAGCAATAAATAATTATATGGTTTAAATAGAAATGCACAGGGAGGAAAAAGTGCAAACCAAAGCGAAGTGGATTTACCAAGTGGACGTTTCGAGCTCACCAATGAAGCCAACCAACATTGACGGTCTGTCGATAAGTCTTCTGACGAATCCTGAATATGGCGCGCGGCCTCCTAGTGTCTCGTTGCCCTGGTTAGATAAAAACACTCTTGGTGGTTGTAGACGTTTATTGGCGTATTGTTTTACTAGATAGTACCAAATATGTGCCGATGTGACGACTAAACAATGCGAGTAAATAAATGCAGTAGCAAAGTGAAAACGTGTCGCATGTGTTGCGTGGGTTTGAACAGGACCCAGCTTATATGTACACATGAGCAGAAAACCGTGCTCAGTAAACCAAGCAGAAGTAAAACAAAGGAATATCACAGTTGGAGTCAGAGTTGATTATGGAGAACATATGAACGGAATACGTCCTCTTGGATTGCTTCTTATCTCAATAGAATGTTCGTTACTACATATCAGCAACCTCCTAGTCACTTGGTCACTACCATTCACAAAATTCTGCCTTCAGAAAAATTGCTTATCGAAGTGATGGAAGCCAAGGAAGCTCGCGGACAACACACGAATCTGGACGTTCAATTGGCCACCAATCGTCTTGTGGGAAGTGAACTGAACTGAATATCCCTTTGTACGCTGTAGGAGCCTCCTGACGTTTAGGGTCTCTCAGCGCCAGTTGGTCATCCATACGTTCTAGTGCAGCCATATTTTCCTTCATACTCTTTTAGTATTTTCCGTAGGCATAGGAACTGACCTTTATGTGACTAACCGCGCGGTTTGAAAGTTTGAAGTGTTGCTTCCATTGGCAAACTTAGACCTGGTTCACACTTATTAAACAGTTTGATCGAAGTTTAAAAGTCCTACACTCGGGCTTACCTTTTGTCCATTCGCGCGAAACTCTCTCTGTGTTGGGCCTAACGCTTTTGCTTGGCTTGTTTGTATTATCGATTTGTATCATTTGATTAACCCTATTAGAGTTTTAACGCATGTTTTTTAAACTATTTTAGGTACCGTTAGTAGTATTATCATGCTGCTTGTTTCATTTTCATGCCTCAAAGTATTATGTAGGAGACGCGTTGTATCGGATATAGAATGTAGCGTTTGCGAGCAGTGGGAGCATAAAACTTGTTCACAACTCTCAAATGCACTCTATAAGCTCTATAATCCTCACGAGGATTTTCTATGGATCTGCGACGCTGCAAAGAGATCGATAAAACTGAACTAAAATGAAACCCCTCGTCTAACGGTAATGGTGTGAGATTGTTAGGCGCAAGCTCCACCACGCTCAAGTCGCCACCAGGACAAGCGAGCAACGTCACTCAGACCACACTTCTTGCCTGAAAGGCCAAATTATTGCTCCCGAAGGAACCAATAGATCACTCGACTCCAAAGACTCATATCGTGAGCCTCCAAAGAGCTCATGGTCGCAAGTAATTGAAACCAATGTCACCACCAAATGAATGGAGGAACAGCCAGCCCTTTTAGCCCACACACAGTTAGCCATAGCAACCGTACCATTCTGAGGATATAATAAAAGCATCATGGAAAACAGACCACGCAAGAACCAACTCAGCGGCAAGAGCAGGAAACGGTGAAACAATTTGTACCAAAACACGTCTCTCAGAAAGTGTTGCGGACAGAACAGATCCCACCAGGTGAACCAAACCCTCACCCGACCCCACTACACGACAATCCCTGAGTGACGATAGTGCGTAAACAACGTCTATCGAAGCTGGGATAGGTAATCACTGACGAAACCAAGAACCAGCTGAGGTCGCAATTAACAAACAAGGCTACTATGCGCCCAACTAAAGGGCAAAAAGGTCAGCAGAAAAACGCTGTACAACGCACCCAAAAGCCAAGACAAGAGAGGCTCAATAGCTCGCCAGAGAACCCGTCCACAGCAATCTCTCTATGGCAAAAGACCCAGAAGTATCCAACCTGCCGGAAAGGCCTAAGCCTACGAGACCCTGAGGAACAAACTCCCATACCAATGACTGTCGCTCTCATCTCGCAATGCGAAAGCCAATTGGAAAAACTCTCGGTCAAGTTACGGAAGCAAATAACCGAAGTAAAGATACTTCAGTCTGCTCACGAGCACGCATTGGGTGGGACGAGGAACATTCTGATTAGAGCCCCAGAGCCCTACGTTTGTGTAACCTCCCAAAGGCTGAAAGCGGAAAAAAGCTACTTCATAGTGTTCTGAGGAATGCGGGCTGCCACTCTCGACTTTAGTGGAGGCCAGCACATAGAGTGGGTAAATGGACCCCTCAGACAACGACTACGCTATAGCAATGCGTCCCCTGCTTGTGGAATTCCACTCCTCCAAGGATCGGGATTTTGTCTTCTCTTATGTAGAGGTGATCGCATCAGCAATGGAAAATATTTCCATAGATACTCACTCCACCTTGTCAAAGACTCCCCAACACTAGAGGTCACAGCAAACCCTCCTCGATCACAGGTGAAAATCGACCGTCTGCGTTTCGACAACCGTGGGCCAGACAGCGGACCTTACCGAACTCGCAGCGTCTCCAGGCCAACTCCAACACCACAGGAGCCAGTTCGGCGTGCAAACTCAGCTAACCCTGACCGAGAAGACGCGAAAACTCCTCAGAGGACCACTCCGAGGAAGCCATAAGCTCCCTAAACCAAAGTCAAGGGCCACAGCGAATCAGAAGTGAACTAGTCAATGTTCGCAGTCTCCTCAACAAGAGAGACGAGACTGCCGAACTACTCAGCGCCATCGACCTGTGTGTCCTCACCGAAACTTCAGGATTGTACTCCAATAGGAGATTGGAGCAATTCCAACCGTACAGAGCGGATGGAAACGAAGCCCCCGGCGGGGGTCGTCTCGTACCGGTAAGCAAAGAGATCCGCCAGTCCCCAACCGAATTCATGAAAAACACGCTGCGTATCCAGACAACAGCACATATACTCCATCTCAATCCGCCAACTCTAACGGCAGGAATCAACCACTGCCCAAGTGCATCCAGCGCAAAAGACCTACAACTTCTTCAAGCGCTAAGAAATGCTTCTCGAAGGTGTGACCCATATCATCACAACATCCATCCGTTCACATACACACAATCAGCTGCATGCTGAACATGATTTCATTCGTAAAACTTGAACATTAATTACACCACCCACATTCTCCCTTTCTTGTTTACACATCGAGACTTTATCTGTAATGATATTCATTTGACCCACTGCCATCAAGTTATCGTGCGACTGGCTGCAAGCGTGCTGATGCAGAAGGTAAATTTCGAAGGAGAAACGTGGACGTCGCCGGAGGTC